AAGCACTGGAGAATGGCTGGGGGTGTTGACAACACAGAGGACAGTAACAGGGATGACAGAGTATGTGGGCTCCAGTATTTGTGGGGGGGAGGGGGCTATGGGAGGGTGCCATTTGGGAAGTGGGTATATAGATGAATAAGACTTTGTGGGATGTTCTGTATGATATACACACAGAAAAATCAATAAAATACGTCTTTTTAAAAAATACGTCTTTTTTTAAAAAAGTATTTGAGGTGGAAGCATAAAAATTTACTTCATGTTAAATAGTAGAGGTGACAAACATTACCAGTGAAATCTATCTGATGACTTTATATCCATACTCAGGTACTAAGAATCCAAGTGTAACCTACTGTGACTAGTAATCATCAGATACATAGAGATTAAAGACACATGTGCAACCATCTAAGTGTTAGTAGCATTAAAAATGTAGGAAATACAGCACTCGGGAGGCAAAGGCAGGCGGATATCTGTGAGTTCAACGCCAGCCTGGTCTACATAGTGAGTTTCAGGACAGCTGGGGCTACAGGGAGACCCTGTCTCAAAAAAAAAAAAAAGAAGGAAGCAGGATATTTTAAAATGAAATGGAGATCTTTAAAGGGTAAAAACTCATTCAATTTTATATCTTACAGGGTTCAATATTATATAACTGTATTAATTCAACTGTGAACCTAATATTTACAGCCACTTCTGAAAGACATGTATCCTTGCTCTGGAGTGTGTTACTGAATATGTTAAAACTGTAAAGAAATGTTTCTTCTAATCATGTGGTTATTAAATTTTTTAAAAATTAAAAAAACTAATTCTCCAAAGCATAAAAATTTGTTCCTTAATAATTAGTAGATGTGAAAAACATTACCATTGAAATCTACCTGATGACTTTATATTCATACTCAGGTGCCAAGGATCTGAGTGTAAATGACCATGACTAGTAATAATCAGATATATAGAGATTAGAGACTCATGTGCAAATATCTAAGTGTTAGTAGCAACCTGATGACTTTATATCCATACTCAGGTACTAAGGATCCACGTGTAACCGACTGTGACTAGTAATAATCAGATACATAGACATTAAAGACACATATGCATATAGGGTTTATACTGAGAACAATATTGTATAACTGTATTAATTCAACTATAAACCTAAAAATTTGCAGCCAATTTTGAAAGAGATGCATCTAGCTCTGGAAATTGTTATTGAGTATGTCAATGCAGCTGTGATGAAATGCTTCTAAGTATGTCGTTATTAAATAAATAATTAAAAAAAAAAGACAGTAGTAGAGTATTTTTTCATGTGTCAAGTAGTTAGCGTGTAATCTTCTCCACTTATCAAAATGTTAACACCTTTACTTAAACTAAAGGCTAAGGTATTGCTAAAAGTCCTAACCTATAAAGCACAGGTTAACAATAGTGCATACTTCATGGGCCTGTAGTGAGAATTAAATGAAGATATACTCAGCACTGTGAAGAGTATGTGACACGAAATAAGCCTTATGTGCTAGCTATTATTTGCATTATGCCTATCATCACTACAACCGTTCTAACAATAAAAGGAAACAGGAAAACACACCTGGTAAAGGGAGAAGGTTAATATTACATTTTTGTGCAATGTTCATCATCGCATTTTCTTCTTCTCCCCTGCAACAGTAGGTCACTGTCAGTCCCAAAGTACCTAAAGCAGAAGGATAAGCAGTGAACCATTTTCACAGAAATGGCATACCAAGTCCACCCTTTACATTATACATTCTTCCCTTCAAAGCACTCAAATTTTTCCTTTTCTTTTTTACCAAAACGGCCAGCTCTGCCAATCCGATGCATATATGTCTCCCAGTCCAATGGTACATCCAGATTTACAACCAGATTCACCTTCTCGGCATCGATTCCACGGGAAGTCTTGAAGACGACAATTTTTTATATTAATTACAGTTTAGCTACCAATGTGTACTATGCTATTCAAGTATAACCAAGAGCCAAACGAAAAACAGACAAATATTTAGGATTCAGAGGAAAATGAAATCCATTCCTAATGATGTATTAAACTATTCCAAAACTAAATAAACTGTTGAAGACTTTTTTTTTAAGGTTTATAATTTTATGTGTATACCTGCATGTATGTATATGGTACCACATGTGGATCTGGTGCCTATGGAGGCTAGAAGAGTGTCAGATCCTTTATAGCAGGAGTTACAGGCAGTTGTCAGCTGCCACAAGAGTGCTGGGAATCAAACCCAGGTCTTCTGCAAGAACAGGAAGTGCTCTTAACCACTGAGCTATCTCTCTAGCACCTATTAAAGACATTTTAAAGAAAGTATTTTCCCCAGAATTGGGAAGATAATTGTCTCTAGTATTCTTCTTAGATACACCCATGTAAAATAAGACAAAGATCTATCTGATAACAGAACACATGTTAAGACAGTCACCCAAACTGAACAGGAAATTTACCAAATCTGTAGAAATGAGGACTCTGCAATGAAACTGCTTCAGTTTAGCCATAGCATCAAGGCGCTGATTCTGATTCATGTTGCCTAAAAAGAGCCCAAAAGAAAGTCATTTAAAAACATTTAAGCACTCCAGGTATGGTGGTGCATGCCTACCATCCCAGTCATCCCAGCACTCGAGAGGCTGAGGCAGAAAGAGCTCAGTTCAAGGTCACTCTAGGCTACATAAAACATCATAAAACAACAAAAACCTTCAATTAATACATATTAATCAAATCCACGATAAGTAAGAATAATAACTCCCAGGCTTAATACTTTATTATTACTATTATTATTTCTTTCGTTTTTTTTTGTCTTTTTGAGACAGGGTCTCCCTGTAGCCCCAGCTGACCTGGAACTCACTATTCAGCCAGGCTGGCCTTGAACTCACAGATCTACCTGCCTCTGCCTCCCGAGTGCTGGACTAACAGCATGTGCCACCATGCCCGGCAACACTTAAATACTTTAAATACATCAATCAATCAATTCTGTCCTGTGCAAATCTCAGGGTTAAGAATTAAAGTTGTTAGCTTCAAAAATATGGTTTAGACAATCAATTTGAAATTCAAAAGCCAATTTTAAATAGTAACTATATTTTCAGAGTTATATATGAAATCTAACAAATTCTTAGGGAAAATGTTCTTACCATTTATTTACAAAAATTTTTACAAGATTTATTCATTTGTGTGTGAGTGCACATGGGTGCACATTCCTATGCACTCAGAGGCCAGAAGAAGGCTTCAGACCCTTTGGCACTAAAACATCCAGCTTATTGTGTGGGTCTGGGATCTGAACTCCAGTCCTCATGATTATTCAGCAAATGCTCTTAACCAGTCATCTCTCGAGCCCATAAATTTGATTTTGAAATATGATCCAAGTTAAAATATTGGGCTGTTAGGAAATAATCTCCTCAGTCTCCTCAATAATCTCACATTAAATATGCACTAGCTAAGAAGTTAAAAATAAAGCTAAGACATAAAATTAAAAAGGATTTCACTGACCAAATTCCTTTCAATCTTTTTCTATCAAACCAGCAGTTAATAAACTTTGTGGCATGCATTGAGTTACATTAAAGTCAATTCAAGAGGTGGATAAACCTAAAACTAGTAGGGTACCTCCCAGAGGGTACAAAGCCAAGTCGGTCGGGACATAAAAGAGTTGTAAAAGAGGGAGGGAAGGAGATCGAAGCAGTTAGATAGTTTCACCATTTTTTTTGTTTTCTAAGACTGGTTTATACTATAGAGCACAGGCTGGCCTGAAACTTGATAATATAGTCCAAAATGGCCTCAAACCCATGCCTGCCTTAGCCTCCAGGATACTGCAACCATAGATATGCAACACCACTCCCTGTTTAACTGTTAGCATTTTAATAATGAATACATTAAGAAACAAAATGTGGTTTTAAAACAATAAAAACAGAGTTTGTTTTACAGAATTAAGTTCTTTGCAGAAATAACTCAGAGATTAAAAAATTAAAAATAAGTCTTGTGGCTCTCAGTTCAGCAGTTAGAGCACTGGCTGCTCTTGCAGAGGATGAAGGTTCAGTTCACAGTACCCACATGATAGATAAAACTGCTGAGAACTACAGTTCCAGGGGATCTAGTACTCTCTTCTGACCTCCATGAGCACTGCATGACACAGGTGCACTTACATACATACTTCACATATTTTTACTGTAAACCAAGTTATTTCTTAAACAAAAAATACAGGAGACTGATATATCAAATTCCAGTAACAAATAAGACTGAATTTCCTTTATTATGAGTGCACCCTGCACAAGACAATTCATAACGTGCTGTATTTTCCTCTTGACATAGGTTTCAAGTCAATACATTAAATAAAAACTGAAGAGCTGAACTTGCCTGAAATACATTCAGTAGGAAAACCTTTAGAAGAAAGGATATCAGCCAAATGCTGAGCTCTATAAAAAAATAAAAAACAAAGATTTACAATTTAAATACTGCCACACACCTATCCTTCCATTCTGTAAGTGCCCCCTATTATCTTAAGTTATATTACCTGCTGTGCAGATTAGAAAACACTAAGGCTTGATTAAATGGGATTCTGCTGAAAAGTTCTTCTAAGTGTTGAGCCTTTTCCTCAAAAATCTTATGGGCCAAAGGGTATGAACTGACAACTTTGTAATACTGCCTCAAACCTACAAGAAAGTCAAGAGTGATTAGTTAAAACAAACATCTGCTCAATTCCAAAGGCAACCATAAAACAGTAATAGCCAATCAGGCAAGCGAAAGCTCCAGGACAGGATGTCACAAACTAAGAATTCAAGTACATACCTATTAGACTTGGATCACTAGAATTCAGTCTTACAAAAGTGGGATCTCTCATATACCTTGTCAAAGCATTAGCCAAAAATTCAGGGTAAGTAGCTGATACTGCCAACATCTGTTTACTGGCAGGTAAAGAAGAATAAATCCAACTGTAAAACAGAAGAAACATAGACCATGAAAACTGCACACAATAAACACTGCTTGGAAAAGATAAAGATACACACTTTAGGGCAACATTTTTATAGTCAAGGTACTAATTTCTTACTTTATTTGATCCTGGAAGCTGCCTTCTTCTAAAAGCTTATCTGCTTCATCAAGAATAAAGAGACGTACACTGCCTGGATTCAAGTAGTCAAGTTCTATGAGTTGTTTAATTCTGCCTAAATGCCAGGGGGGGAAAAATGAAATATTTATGACACACAAATCTATATAAACCTCAGCCAATGTTTCACTCTATTCATTCCCAGGTTGCACTGCTGAATTTCCTGACTCAATTCACAGTAGGCATTTACATACTAAATAACAATCTTAGTAATCTTAAATTCTGATCTTGCCTAAACCTATCCCACCTCCCTTTTCATCACCAATAAGTATGGAAAACAAGCACCAGTCCTATCACAAGACTTGAATGCTAAGGTACTAAATGCTAGGTTGTGATTCTGAGTGATTCATGAACAAATTAGTCAGAGAAGACAAAGAAAAATTTCAATCCATGGCCTAGACAGGCTTCCAAAGTCATTTTCTAAATATCCTTATGAACAGAGATGTAGAAATTCTGTTGATAATCCAGTCATGTGTCTCACTGGTCTACTTTCTTCATCTCTCACTAGTCTTTCTTCACATCTAATCACAATAATCATCCCAGTGGGGTGTAGTGGTACGCACCTTCAATCCCAGCACTCTGGAGGCAGAGGCAGGTATCAGATCTGTGAGTTCAAGGGCCCTGTTCTACATAGTGAGTTCTAGGCCAGCCAGGGCTGTATAATGAGATCAGGAGATCATCATCATCATCTTCATAATCACCCCAATTATCAAAGACTCCCATATCCCTATTTGTCACATTCAGTCTTCCATTCCTCAAGAACCTCAGTTACCAATAGAAGTTGATAACTTACCAGGAGATCCAACAGCAATATGACACTTTTTAAGTCTGCTTTTGTCTTGTGATAATGGAGTTCCTCCAATAAAGACATGACATTCCAGGCCTTCCATTTTTATTCCAATGGCTGTGATAACAGAATGTATCTGTACAGCAATTTCTCTTGTGGGAGCCAAAATCAAAATCTAAAACAAATTGTGAAACATACCTTTAAAAGTCAGAGGAATACAAATAATTGGTACTTTCATTGTATCATGCACTGTTTTTCATTTAAAAAGATGAGTTTTAAGAGAAAACATTCCATTCACTTATTCATTCGCAAATATTTAAAAACCTGCTATATCAGTTAAGCACACTACCTGTTCTTCCAATGAACCCAGGTTCAAATCCCAGTGTCCACATGGCAGCTAACAACTGTCCGTAATTCCAATTCCAAGGGATCCAACACCCTCTTCAGTGGGCACTGCACACACGTGGTGCACTTACACACATGCAGGCAAAACATGCATACACATAAAATAAAAACTTAAATAAAATAGAAAAAAACCCTGCTACGTATGCAACAACTTGAGCTGCTAAAGAATTGTTTTCTTGGCACTCTTGTTCTTGGGTTATAAAATGAATAATAAAGTCACGGGTACTGGCGCACACCTGTAATCCCAAAACTCAGGAGGCAGAGGCAGGCAGCTCTCTGTAAAATCAAGGTCAGCCTGGTCTACACAACAAGTTCCAGGCCAGGTCAGGTTACAGGGAGACCTTGTTACAAAAAAGTAAAGATAAATAAACATACATATAAAAAGTATGGTTTTAAAAATCAAACACAAAAACACGAAAAAGAGAAAGACGTAACAAGAGGAGCCCTTTTAAATAGGGCAATCAAGAAAGCCCCTCTAAATCTAGGTATGTTGGCATACACCTGTCATCCTAGCAAGCCAGAAGCAGGTAGGAGGTTTAGCTCAAGTTCAAGGTCAGACTGGTCTATATACCAGGATTCAGGCCAACTAGGGCTAAATGTAGAGTACCTGCCTCAAAAGAACAAAAAACTTTAATTAACATTAGAGAAGAGACCTCAGTTATAGCTAGCTGTGGGATACTGAGGAAGTGTTTCAGGAAGAGAAAAGGCAAATACCAAAGCCTTAAGAAGGTAGCAGAGAGAGAGAGAGAGACAAGAGAGAGAGAGAGAAACAGCAAGAAGGCCCATGTATTGGAAGAGATTTTAGGAGGAAAGGAAAAGCTTTTGATCACAGAGCTAACTTAGGGGCTAGCTTCCCAAGGCCTCGAGAGTGACTCACAGTGCACACAATACAAGTGGAGACAAATTGTAAAGCACGTGTTCTAAACCATAAGAAAACACTACTTTGGGGCTGGGGAGATGGCTCAAAGGTTAAGCAGCACTGGCTGTTCTTGCAGAAGACAAGGGTCTGAATCCCAGCACCTACATGGCAGCTAACAACTCCAGTTCCAGGAGATCTGATGCCCTCTTCTGTCCTCTGCAGGCACCGCATGACACAGATGCACTTAAACACATGTAGGCAATGACACATAAAATTAAAGTAAATAAAATTTTAAAATGAAAACACTGCTTTTAAAAAAAGGACTAGGAAAAAAGAAAAAGATTATCTTCTCTTTGAGTACACACCACAGATTTTGGTTGCTTGATACTTCATTCTCTATTTTTATGAACTTTCTCAATTTTCAACAGTACTACTATGATGCACAAAATGTGTTTTTAAATGTGCATTTTAATAATACAAGGAACTTAAATAAAAATATGATTTTTATTGTTTGCTACTTGATCTGTTGCCAAATTATCACAAACCAAAACTTCAAATATGCCCTAATTTACAAGTAGACTAGCCCAGATTCTTAAAAAGTATGTCCAGTGTCTCCAAGGATTTGGTGGCTTTAGAACTCAAAAGGGTTCCTAAACAAATACGAGACTCCTGTTAGAAAGGGCTAGTGAAGATTCATCATCATCATCTTCACTTCAACTTGAAATAAGTTTGCCAAAACTACTGTAGAGGACCATCTGAGGACCATATGTAATTAATTTCTGAACCCCTAATGTCTGGTATACTATTTATATGTAATATTGCTTGCTTCAACAAATCTTGAAGACTTATCCCCAAGCCCAAATCTCTTAAGATGGGTAGGGCAACCTTAAAAACATTCAGTAAGATGCATGCACAGAGCTTTGAGATGGACCTGAAGTTTTACCAGAGCACCACATTACATGAATGCAAACTTCCAATCTTTCTAATCCCAATCTAGTCGTTAAGTAAAAGAATTTTCAAAACTCAGGATGATTTAACTTATTCAAGATGTAGTAATGAAACAAAATGCCAAATCTAAAATACTAATAATATATCCTTGGCCACAACTCAACGACCACATCCGTGTCTGCTTTACTTTTGTGATTTTCATTAAGGTTTAGCGCCTCCAAATTCACCTCCACCACCGAGGAGTTCCTGGTATTTCATTTGACTCTTGCTTGAGTCCACGTGCAACACACCCTCTTTTGAGACCTCTGGGTTAAACTCACCTGTGTACTATAGTTTTCAAGAATAAGCGAGTCCAGAGCAATGGTGGAAAAAACACATGTTTTCCCAGTGCCAGACTTAGCTTGAACTATTAAATCTGAGGAAGAAAAAAAAGGAGGTTCATTAGCTAAAACTCACCAAAGCAACTCTGGTACCAACACGGAGTCAGAGGACCAGAGTCTCTCCTAAGATCCCCGATGTCACCTGTATTTTTAGTGAACTCACACAGGCTTGCCTGGTCCCTGCATCCCCACCGAGGTTGACCGTCTCCAACTTAGACTCTCTCGGTAGTTCTATCTTCCCATGTGATAGCCTCTGTCCGGCCGAGCCCAGCAGTGGCGCTGACCCCGAGCTCGGCCCCCTTCTCCGGCCCAGACTGGCCCCGGTCCTCACCCAGCCCGCAGCGCCCCAGCGGGATGGCCTTGAGCTGCACCGGTGAAGGCCTCTCGAAGCCGGCAGCCCGCAGCCCCTCCAGCACCGGCCGCGACAGCAGCAGAGACTCGAAGTCCGCGGGCTCCGCCAGCACCACGTCCCACGTGCGCGTCCGCGGCCCGCTGATGTCGTGAGCGGTCCGCAGGCTCCTCAAGGCCCCGGGAGCTGGCTCCGCAGTCGGGGCAGGCGCAGCCACACACTCCACGGGCATCGCGGTCTCCACCGTTGTCAAGGCCGCCGGGGCTTCAAACGTCGCAGCCATGGTAGCCGCGTCTCCAGATCTCGCGATACTTAGGGTTGAGGCGGGGCTCCTGGGAGCGAGAAGAGGAAAAACTTTATTGGCAGTCTTCCCGCGAAGACACGGACACGTCTGGCCTGGAAGTGGAGGGGAGGAACGGAAGTTGGAGGCAGAGACACGCTAGAAGAAAAAGAGTGTGGCCAGAGGAAGCGGCGGGAAGAACGAGGGAAGATTAAGCTACCAGTGCGTCGTTGCGTGCGGCCTGCAGAGGGCGCCGCGTATTCGCGGTGGACGCTGCCCGCCTTCCGGGCCTGTGACGGAACCTTCGGCGCTGCGCTCACAGGACGCGCTTTGTGACGTGGCCCGCGCGTCATCGCCCCCGTAGGCTTTGGTCCTGGGCTTCCTCAGTGGTCCCCGGTGGCGTCTCTCCGAATGCTTTGCGATCGGCATTCCGCCCCGCCGTCCCTCCGGGCTCGCAGAGAGCGCCCGGAGCATATGTAGTAGGTCCTCGGGGTGCACTGCACTGGCCAGATCCGCTAGCACGTTGGTGCTCCAGCCCCACAGCACAGGATGGGGCTCTAGACGAGCTCCTAGGATAGTAACTCCAAGCGGAAACCAAAACTGGACGTCCAGTTCCCCAGCTCTGCCCGAGAGCTCTCTCTAAACTCTAGGATGACTAATGGACATATCCAGTGTGGCTTGATTCTGCTGTGTGCCCTCCCTTGCTATCTCGGGTGGGCATGCCACTTTACCATTCTCTAGACTTCCGCTTACATGTCATCTTGTCTAAGGTCTTTCTTGAAATCCTAAGTCATCCCCATCCTATCTGCTCCCTAGCCTTTTTTCCTATCACTCTCCGTTCTCTAACAACTTGTTTGGAGACAGAGTCTCCGTATGCAGCCCAGACTAACTTCAAATATGCAATCCTCCTGCATCAACTTCCCAAATACTGAGATTATAGGAGTGGTCACTTTTTTTTTTCATTTATGTGTGTGTATGTGTGTCTGTGTGGGGTTATGTGCACTTGACTGCAGGTGCCCTTGGAAGAGGCGGTTGGTATCAGATCCCCCAGGAGCTGGAGTTTTAGGCAGTTGTAAGCTGCCTGATTGTGGGTGCTGGGAACCGAACTTATATCTTCTACAAGAGCAGCAAGTGCTCTTAACCATTGAGCTATTTCCAGCCACTTCTTTTTCATCATGATAAAACTACCTGAAATTATGTTTATTGCTTCTCCCCCCCCCCCCCCCCGACCTCCCCTTTCCCGGCAAGGACGGGAACCTGCCTTCTGTCCTGTCTCTGGAAGGAAAAACAAAATCGACACATTTTAATATTTTTTAATGAGCTCTTATAACAAAGTCTTAGTCATTATTCCAAATTTAAAGATATTTCATATTTGTGTTACTTTTCTCATTGCTGTAACAAATACCTGACTAAAGAACTTAAGGAGGTAAGGTTTATTTTGGCTCACAGTTTGAAAGGCTAAATCCATCAGAGAGAGAGAGAGCACTTGATTTCTTTATTCAGTCTAGGGCCCCACTCCATAGAATGTGGCACCTACACTCGAGTAGTTCTTCCCACTTCATTTGATCCTCTCTGGAAATGGACTCACAGACCTCGGGGTTTGTTTCCTAGTTGATTGTAAATCCCATCAAGTTGATAACAACCATCACAAACCTCATTTGTTCTTGTTATAATTCTGCCTTGTTTCCCAAACACACACTGATGTCCCACATTCCAACTATGTAGATGCATCTTCGGCATGAAAATCTCATTGGAAGGGGATCCCTTTTGCTTCGAAATTTACAAAACACTGAGCAAAAGTCCACTATCCATATGAAGGAAGGGAGGCTGATGAGGCTGGGGCACTAAAGATCCCAGGCTTCTTAGGCCCTCAAATCTTTCATTCACCTAATTCACAAATTACAAACTTGGGAATTTGTTTTTTACTCTGCCCTCTGCCCTTTTCTTTCTAACAATTCACTGGGCAAACAATTTTGGCTCCAAATGTTTCATCCATTCCTTTCCAATCTATATTATCTACCCCATTGTAGGTCTTTTGGTCATGCTAACTATATTACAAAATCCTCTTTAGAGGCCTCCCTGCCTAGAATCTTCTCTGTCCCCACCCATGCACCTTCACCGGCACTGAAATGGCTTTTTTCTGGGAATTGAACCCAAACTTTCAGCCACACACTCTACCACTTGGTCACATTCCCAGCCTGAGAGGCTCACTTTCTTCTTAGCCCCCTTACTTTCTTAGCTTTTTTTTCCTGTTGCTGTGACAAAAGCAACTTAAGGGAGAAAGGATTTATTCTGGCTCCAGTTCAAAGTACAGTCCATCATGGTGATGTCACAGCAGTGGGAGTGTGAGGCAGCTGATCATGTTACATCTGCTGTCAAGAAGCAGAGAAATGAATGCTGCTAGTGTGCAGTTGCTTTCTCCATTTTATACAGTCCCAGATTTCCTACCCAGGGAATGGTCCTGCCCACAGTTAAGATGAGTCTTGTCACATCAATTAACCTAATGAAGATAATTGCCCTGGGCATGTCGGAGGCTCATTTCTCGGGTGATTCTAGAGCCTGTCAAGTTGAGGATGAAAACTAACCATCACATTTCCTTTCTCCTAAGAAGGATGGTGATTACAGTGGTGATGAATGTGATGAACCTGGTAATAATGCAGTGGTGATAGCTGGCATTTGTCAAGCTCATAGTCTTACCAGGCAATCATAACCCCATGAGATGGGCACTATCATCTCCCTTTTACAGTTAAAGAAGACGGGATACTGCAAAGATATTTCCAAATTCAAAAATTACTGCAAAAAAAAAAATCCCAAATTCATGATCTTGGCCTCAGGCATGGGTTGAAGAAAGATACCTCAGGCCTCTCTTTCCTTATCTCTCCTGAAGGATCTTCCCTGAGATTTGCAGAGGCTCTGAAGTCACCTCCTCAGCTAACAAGAGGGAGGAAGTGACTGGGCAAAATGGAGCAGAATCTAGGACAAGGACATCATCAGCAGAAGGAGTGAGCTGCACAGGCCTGTATTCAGTGATGACTCAGACCATAAAGTGCTGGGAGAAGTCCTTAGAAGCTGGGCAGGATGTACTCAGCCTTCCAGCACCACAGAGTCTGTCATCAGGAGGTGAGGAAATGAGCAGGCTCTTTACCTAGGAGCTACTAGGGCTATGGCAGAGGTCTAATGATGTGTCAGGGCAAATAGTGCTTATAATGTGAAAAACCCAACAGGGTGCCCCTGGAAGCCCCATGGGCTCAATGGAGAGACCTGAAGGTGAGAGACTTTCTAAAGGTATCTTAGGTTGCTTGGGTACAGCTTCAGATTCTACTCCTTTCAATTCTCTTTTTCATTCCCCACCCCAGGATCCCACTTCACACTATAAATAAATTCCAGTCTAGCCCCTAGCATGATATGTATATTTGTTTGCATGTCTGTGTCTCACTCTCTAGACTTTGAGCTTCTCAAGGACAAGAATTTTGCCTCCCTAGATTCTCCATCCCAGCAGCAGTCATCTGATGGACCTAATAACCACCGAATGACTGGTATCTACCTGAAAAGTCTCTGCTAGGCCTTGTGCACACAGCATTGGTTCTGTAAAACTTATGCCAATCACTGGCAGAGAACCTGGCTATCCCCTGAAGAGACCACTTTTCCGAAAAAGAACATTTAAAATTTTGTGGGCAATCTGTTAGTTCATTTGTCATTGACCATGTTTTAGAGATGCAAAATTGCAGTAATCATATTAGGGATTAACTACACTAGTTATAGCTAAAAACACAAACCAACGATTTTAGCTTCAGGAGTTAAAAACTGTAACAATCTTATGAATTGAGTGCTGTAAAGATAAAGTACAAAATCAAGATACTATTGATAGTTGATGAGACGTGAGAGTGGCACTTGCCCCAGTGGGCTGCACCGGATCAGCCTTCAGTCCTCCTGCAGGGTCACAGTGAGAACCAGCTTTCTCCAGGGCACAGATGCCACCGCCTTCCTCCTGCCAGACCAAAATCCTTATGCTTCATGACCTGTAATGCCTCTGTGCTTTTGTTTATACTACACCAGCAAAGACTTTCCAGGGACAGGGAGGGAGACTCCTGTGACCTGAAGAAGTGAGCAAGACTAAGGCTCAGAATAGGCTTAGAGATCCACAGTGAATACTTTGAGCCCAGGAGGAGGCTAAAATGGCATCACTCAAATGATGCCAATGAAGGCAGAGTGTCAGGTGGCCCACCCTGGATTTGAGAATGGGGCGGGGCTGGCAAGCAGGGAAGGAAACTGAAGTATTACAGCTACTTTCTTTCATTTGGCCCTCAAAGGAACAACAGGTAAGCAATATTATTTATGGTGAATTCACGAATATCTCTATTCTTCCATAGAAATCCTCTGAACACCTATCACTGAAGATATTAAAATGGAACAAACCAGAGTTCCTTACCTCAGGGGGTCCGCCAAACCTTTAATTCCAGCACTTGAGAGGCAGAGGCAAGATGGATCTCTATGTGTTCAAGGCCAACCTGGTCTACATAGTGAGTTCCAGGGCAACATAAACCTTGTCTAAAGAAGAAGAAGAAGGGAGGGTGATGTGGGGGAGGGAAGGAGGAAAGGAGAGATGAAGGGGGGAAGAGGAGGAGAGAAGAAGAAAAGGACTTAGGGGTCAAAATTAAGTTTGATAGAAAAATAAGACTTCAAGCTAAAATGTTAGTGCCCCAGGATAGAAGTTCACTTTGCCCTAGTGGAGAGGTCTGGAGATAACACAGACACAGTAGCTTTGGCCCACAAAGTCCCCAGGCAGCCAAGCTTCTATACCCAAATGAATGATCTAGCTCTAGCCATCATGTCTACATCCAAGAGAACAGGAAGAAGGAAGTCTCAAAAATAGAAAGGGTAGAGGTCATTATGCCAGCAGCCCCTTTTAAGGGATATTCTCAAAAAGCTGCCACACTCCTACATGGCCTTTCATTGACTAGAACCTAACCATAGATTCCTGTCTATCTTCAAGGACACCTGGAAAATATTATTTTACTAGACAATCTGCATCAGCTAACCACAGGCTGGAAAGGGGATCTAATGCCACAGGAAAGGTGGAAGATGCATGTGAGGCAGCTAGAGTCTGCCACTTTTTCCCAGAGTTTGTGTGAGCTAAGCAAGCATTCAAAAGTGAATTAGGAGTTATTGATCTTTCTGGCTCAGTGGTTAAGAGCACTGATTGCTCTTGCAGAGGACCCGGGTTTGATTCCCAGTACCCACATGGCAGTGAACTACCATCCATAACTCCAGTTCCAGGGGATCCAGTGCCACCTTCTGACCTCTGCGGGCATTGCATGACATAGGTGCACTTACACAAATGCAGGCACTACACTCATAC